TAATATAAAACTAATATAATATCAATAAAATAATATAAAATAATGTTTAAAAATATCTATAATATTACAATATATAGAAACTTGTATAGTTATCTGTTGAGTGTAATATAAAAATTAAAGTGTTTAATTAAACAATCTCTTAGTAGATTACAAATATGACAGCTAGTATAGAATCTGCAAATAGACTACTTAAATAGATAGCCAAAAGCTGATGTGTAACTAGTTGCACACTTACTTTGTACAAATTATATAATTATAATTAAAATGACAATAAAAACAATAGTTATCAATAACCAATAACCTTAATGAAAGCAAAAAAATAATAATAAGGCTGTTCTTTTTTTTATTTATTTATAAAAAAATAAAATAATATAATGAATCATCTTATCAATATTATGCTTTTATATTAAACATGTTAAAATTAAATACTTATTAAGTTTATTTTTAAAAATAGTCATAATTGAATTTGAAATATAACAATTTTTTAATAAATATGTTTTAAAATACATAATTTATATATATATTAATTTATTGAATTAAACTTAGAATATTAGCCTAGAGCATTAACTTAAAATATAAATTTAAAATACATATTAATCTAAAATACAGAGAGGTATAATAACTTAGTGAAGTAAATAAGTTGTCAATCTTCCAAGTAGTGTTTCACATATTTGATCTAAAGACCCAAATCTGATCCGGATTTAGTGTTCAGATCAGATCTGAATCTATAATTTCTAGTTCTACTGAAACCAGATTCAAATTGAGATCTGATCTAGTAGATCCGTTTGGATCTGCTCAAATAATAAATGATAATTGGCTGAATACTCTGATTGGCTTATATTATTATATTGTCTAAAAAAAAGTGTTCTCTTAACTCTAAACCATTTTATCTAAACCATTAAATAAAAACTTCAATGCTTTTTTTTTTTTTCTATTATAAAGATAAGATCAACTTTAAGTTTTCTAAGTCTTCTAAGTTTTTTAAAACTGCTAAGTTTTTTATATCTTCTAAGTTATCTAAGCCTTCTAAATTTTCTAAACCTTTTAAGTCTAATAATTAGAGTTATGATAATAAATTTTAAATTTTTAATTTGTTTTTTTTTAATTTTTTGTTTTTTTTAATATAAAGAATTTTGTATTACATGTTATGATGTTGGATATGGAACTTTTTTTTTTAAAAAAACTTATCTTTTAATACTGAAGAACTTTTGAACTTTTATTAAGACAATGTCAACTTTGTCTATGCTTTCTTTTTGAGAGTTTAGTGAAACTAATTATAAACAAATGCCTACTTACATGAATAAAGATAAAGCTGAAGTCGAAGCCAAAGTCAAAGCTGAAGCTGAAGTCGAAGCTGAAGTTAGTAAATCATCTTCAACCCAATCAGAAGATGATTGTAGTAGTAAAACTATGTATTTCAGGTAGGAAGCTTTATGGTACTAAGCAACTTTATATCAATTTAAAAAGATCTAATATATACTATATTTATTTACTAGTTGTTTTACATATAGATCTTTTATGTGAAACTACTTTAAAAAAAAAAGTAACAAGGTGACCTGTAATTTCTGTAGTATGAATTTAGTATATCAAGATGAGACCACATCAAATTTTAAGAAACATCTTAAACTACATAAAAATAAAATACCTGAATTAAAAAAGCCAAATATAAAACAAGGTGGTTTAATTATTAATATGCTAAATAATAAAACAGGCATATGTTTTTAAAATATATAATAGTTAAAAGGAATATTCATATGATTTTAAAATATATAATTTTATTTATTAGATCAATAATTATTTTCGCAAACTATTTAATAAAATTAATTTTAATAATCTTATTAAACAATGGATTATTAAATGTAATCAGCTTTTTTTAATTACTGAGGATGAAGAACTTGTATTGATTTTTAAATTTTTAGATTCTTATGCAACAGATATGATATTTATTAGAATAGTGCTTGAGGATAAAAGAACAAGTACTTAGTTTTTTTTTTTAATAGCACCTTTAGCCGATATAGTAAAAAAGATATACAGCATATGATTTTGAAATAGAACAAAGAAGGCTTCGAAGAAAGTTGCAAGAAATTCCTAAAGGTATAACTGTAACTACTGATATATGGATGAATGATACTGGCAACAAGTCATTTATAGCAGTAACTATCCATTATCTAAATGTTTCATAGAAACTTCAAAATATTTTGTTAAATTTTGTTAGTATGAAAGGTTCACACATAGGTGCCACAATTTTAAATGCAATGAAAATGTGTTTTCATGAAAAAGGAATTATCTCAAAGTTAGTTGCAATTACGCATGACAATGCATTGTCTAATAATAGATTTTTGCAAGATTTTGCATATTCTTTGTCACAAATTGGTATCGAGTTTGATAGTATTCAATAATCAGTATGATGCTTTGGACTTATTTTAAACCATGCAGTACAAAGCATGTTAGATATTGTAGGAACCAAGTTGGAAAGGGTTAGTATTTTTTTATTAATTAAATTGGTTCGATTTGTGTTTTATTATTATTAATTATTTTATAATTATTTTTTTTTAGCTATGATCATTAATTAAAAGCATAAGAAGAATGCCAAAACATTGCGAAAGGTTACAAAAAGCATGTCAAATTCACAATATAAGGCAATTGAAACCAATTCTTGATGTAAGCATGAGGTAAAATTCTATCTTTAAAATGTGTAATAAGGCTATAGAATTGCAAATAGTATTAGATAGCATTGCTCTAGCTGAATTGAATTTGCAGTCATATGTTCTTAGTAAAGATGAATGAGATAAAATAAAACTTGTAGTTGAAGTTTTAAAACCATTTAAAGATGGTTAGTAAACTTTATTGTAATATAATTTATTAGGTTTATATTAATAACTGTATTACATTAAATATTTGTTTAGTAACAACTATTATATCGATATCCGAATATCTAACATTATCAATAGTTGTTTTCCTTTATCATATGTTGCTTGAAACATTTGGTAAAACTCAAGGAAAAAGTAATACACCACAATGGCTTATACAAGGATGTCAAGCTGCAACTGCTAAACTTCTAGAGTATTGTCAAAAGATAAATATATGGTATATTTCAGCAATAGTGATAGATCCATAGCTTAAGTTTTAGTATTTTAAGGACCTTGGATAGTCATTGCAACTTATTAATCAAATCAAAGACATGTTAGTTTATAATTTATAGTGTAAAATATGTAACCAATATAATGTATTGATTAATATTATATGTATTATTTTATAGTATTAAAAATAAATATGAAAATCAATATGCACCTGTTTCTGATCAAGATGTAAACTCGATTGCTAAAATGTCTACAACAAATATAATATCATGAATTTATAAATGATCCCGTATTGAGTATAAGAGTGAGCTTGATATATACTCAAATGCATTACTAATAGACCCATATATAGATATTCTAGAATGGTGATAAACAAATGAAGCTAATTATCCAAATTTTTCAAGATTTGCTAGAGACTGCCTTCTGATACCTGCTATGAGTGTTCCTAGTAAGCAAGTTTTTAGTGTTAGTGGCAATATGATAAGTGAAAAGTAAAGTCGATTAAATAAAAAAACAGTACACATGTCAATGTGTCTAAGGTTATGGTTGAAGGTGCTAAATGAACTGTATGTATATAACTTAAATATTATTTTTAATAGTTTTTAAATCATGTGATTATTTTAACTAATTTATATTTAAATCATACTTGAGCATATAAGTTGCTTGCTAATTTAAATTGAATCAGATAATACATTTGTATTAAGAAGTCGTGAAAATGCCTTTTTATAATGGAATATAAAAAAAAAAAGTCTTTGAAATTAAACCAAATAAGGAACTTGCATTGATTATTCATAAAAGCAGAACACTATTGTATGATGGCAAATATGATTAATCAGATAATCTGTTACTCGTAAAGTACTTGTAGTATGCATATGCATGAATTTGAAATAAATAAAGTTAATATATTCAGAAATATTAAATTTTTTTATTTAAATTATAAATTGGTTAAAACGATTATGCAGATAAATACATATTTTAAAAATAAGCATTATTTATTATCAGATTCAGATCCAGATTCAGATCTTTCTTATTTGGATCTGAATCTGGACCTGGATTTGATCCGTTTTTTAGATCAAATCCAGATCTTTAAAAATATCTGTCTGATCTAATCTATGCAGAACACTACTTTCAAGTAATAGATTGTGAGTTCAAAACTCATTAATAGTGAAAATTTGAATAATCATCTATACAATATATAAACAGTATTATAGCAATAGCATTTTGTCAATTAGTTAGAATAAGATACTTATAACTATAATTGTATTAGCATAACTGGCAGGTTATAAGTATTTGTACAATGTTGAAGTTATACAAAGAAATGCAAACTGGTATTAGATAATACAAACTTAAAATAAGTCTTTGTAGTTATGTAAATCTGCAGAACTAAGAAGCCAGAGTTTACTTAAAAAGATCTAAGTAAAAAGATAGCACAAATCTTTAATAGTATTATTATAAAAACTAGATTTAGAAAACAAATACTAATATAAAGAAATTATATAAACAAGAACCTTAGGGGTGTGGTGACCTAGTGAAGTGGTCAGGTTGTCAACCCCCAAGTGGCAGGTCTAGAGTTCAAATCCCATGGATGATGAATTTTGG